GACTTCCTACGTGATGAAAAATGCTTTCGGGCCACTCGTCGTCTAGTTCTGATGGATCAAAGGTCTGCGAGCATCCTGAGTTGTCTTGTCCTTGACATGAAGGAAGTGATCCTTGGTACGCAGCAAGTGATCCATCCGCTCCTGCAGCCAGTAGAATGGCTTCAGTGTCCTCTTCTGGTACTCCAGGAACTCAGTGGGATGTTCTTGTTGGGCTTTGGCCTGAGCAGGCGCTGGTTGACCCTCCTTGGAGAGAAAGAGCAGGGGTCGAATTTGCTTAAAACTTTCAGGCTTCAAGCCGAAATAGAGGCCAGGAAAGAGGTCAAAGGCCTTGTAGGGCGCCCAGGATTTCCAGGCCTGGTAGTCCGAGATGCCAACATGCATTCTGTCAAGGACATGAAGGGCCAAACGCTTGAGTGCATAGAAAAGATCTCTTTGTTTGGTAGCTTCTTGAGGGATGACGCCGGTGATGGAGGCAAGCCATTAGGTTTTGTTGATGTCAAAGATGGCCAGAGCAATGATTCAATGATGTATTGCTGGTGTTGTTTATCAGTGCACATCGTGGCCACATCCAAGCAGCAGGCTTGTCCCTGCTTGAGATGAGTCGCTTCCAGGTCAGTCCAAAGACCTGTGCCTTCAAAGGTGCTCATGCCCCCATGCTGTTCTTTGAAGAGACTGAGTCATGCCCCTATTCCACAACTCTGGCTCCGAGTCTTGTTGGAGTCGATGCGACCATTCAGCGCCGGGAGGGCCTTGAGCTTGCCTTCCCAGAACTGGCACTCCCACAACGTATGTGTGAAAGTGAGATCCACGCCGCAGAGAGGGCGCGAACCCTGCTGGCCGTGTAAGTGCCTCGCTAGAGAGCTCGAAGAAACAGGTTTCGTGTTGTGCGGAGTGTGTAGTTGTATCGAGCAAGATCGTTGAGTTTGATCTTAGCTCGAGTTCTGTTTGATTTGGACGCTTCTCAAGAAACTTGTGTGTTGTTTTTGTTGGCTGGACGAACGCGCTTCGGCGCTCATAGGACCACATTGGGGACCAAAGCGCAGAGCGCCGTGAGCCTTTGAAAAGGCTTGGCCGGGCCTGGGTCATCAAGTCTCCATCCTTGTGGGTGAATCTCTGAAAAAGATATCCACTGTCATTTGCGTGATTGGTAAGCTCAGGCTCAGGATGACAAGACACAAACACTTCTGCACGCACTTGCAACTTATGACTGTGTTGTGATTGGATCTTTCAGTTCTTGTTGTATTTCTTGGATGAGGTGATGCAGTACTGTCTGGCGCTCTGATGGAGTTTACGACGTTACCCCAAACTCAGGAGCCTCAATCACGTATCACTGCACGGCCTAGGGCACATTGTTCTCGAGATGTTGGGAGCGGGCTGCTGGCTCTGCTGATTCTGGAGGTGTTCGACGAGCTTCGAGAGCGCCGATTCCATGCAGTCGCGGCCTGTGCCATGGGCGGCAGGCGCTGAACAGGGACGGGCTGGATGGCTCACTGATGACCAAACGAAGATTTGTGCTGTTGGTAGTCGGTGACTGCTCAGAAGCCCACTGGTTTTTGGCCTCTGTCTTCTACATGTGGTGGGGTCAGCTGGGCTCGCGGAGCTTTCGTCGCCTTACTTTCATTGTCTGTCGACCGAAGTTGTCCGACGGCTATCCCAATACATGGTGACGGTAACACCAAGGTAGCAGAGCCCGCCGACGGGAGGGTACCACACAACGGAAACGTTCAAAAGAAGCAGATGGCTGGCCTGTCACTTTCCAAGTCAGGAGCTCCATGCTACTTGCTGGTTTTCGCTTTCGCATCAGTACAACAGCTGAGACCTGAGTTTCGCAACGCCCTGAGCGACGCCTGGCAAATAGATCGCAGATGGCAGTTGGAAGAGCCGGGGCAACGCAGAGCAGTGGTTGCTGCCCCCGTGCTGAAGGTTATGATTTGCATCGCCTTGCTTTGGAATTGGTGGTCATTTGCAGGGATCATCACCCTGGGCTTTGCAGGTATGCTTCTTCCCAATGAGGTCTTGCGTTTGTTGCATCGTGACCTGGTTTTCCCTTCAGATGCAATGTTGGAGACAACAGCGTTGTATGTCCCCGTGAAAAACTTAAAGACATCTCGGTTTGCCAGGAAGCAGCGTGTGCGTGTTGATGATGGGTCGTTGATTTTTCTAGCGTGGTGCATGACCTGGACGAACAGTTGTTCCCAGCTTCAGTTGCGGTGTTTCGACGCCAGTGGAACGGCCTCTTGGACCGGAAGACAACCTCAAGGTGGTGCAACTCCAGGGACCCTTCGAGGTTTGGGCGCCACTCGCAAGTACATTCAGAGTGGGAACATTGCTCAAATACAGTGGAAGGGCAGCTTGAACCAGCTGAAAACACTTGAGCACTACGCAACTGCTCACGTTCAACCTGAGCCCACAGACACGCCATCAGATCTCCACTTTGAGTTCGCGTCTCGGATTTGTTATACAACAATTGTTTCCAGTTGAGTATTCAGAATGGTGCAAAGCAGAAGTTTAGAGTGGGAAAGGTGCATACATTGCTTCATTGTCGTTGGTCGGTTTAGTCGATAGCGTGAGTGTTGGAGATTGAAGAGCACCTTCCGGACTTGTGCAAAGTTGCGTCACCTTGCAAACGCAAGGATGGGAACCCTTGGTTGCGCGGAAAATGAGCGTGAGGGATGATCTCACCCCTTGGCTGTTAGCAGAAACACGCTCATTCCCAAAGGTGCGCAAATTGCTTCATTGATGTTGGTCGTTTAGTCGGTAGCGTGAGCGTTGGAGACTGAAGAGCATCTTCCAGACTTGTGCAACGTTGCGAACGCAAGGATGGGAACCTCTGTTTGTACGGAAATGAGCGTGAGGGGTATATATAGCCAGACGGGTTTAATTAAGAATGTGTTTGTTTTAACCTCTCGTGTACTTTCATACGTCGTTTGCGCGTTTTTTGGATAGTCACACTTTTGAATTTGTCGCGGAAAATACGTGTATTTACTGCGTGTGTTTTCGCTGGTTGATGTAAAGCACACTGCGTTCAGAACCGTCCCACGATTCCGAGGGTCTTGGTCGGATGGCGCGTTAACGTTCTGTTCAATTTGCGCACCCGTACAGAAGAAACCCTTCTACGCTACGCTACGTACACAATGCGAGTGATTGAGGGTGGGGTGGGTTGGGGTGGGGTGGGGTGGATGTTAAAGTTCGGTTCAGTTTGCACACCCATACAGAAGAAACCCTTCTACGCTATGCTACGTGCACAATGCGAGTGACTGAGGGTGGGGTAGGTTGGGGCAGGGTGGGGTGGATGTTAACGCTCGGTTCAGATTGCACACCCATACAAAGGAAACTCTGGTGCACTCAGACGTTTTCAATTTTTTTGCTATTTGTCTTAATACAAAAGGTACAAAGGTGTTAAAAAGGTTGCGTTTTTCACAAACGTGTCACAGTCTTAAGTAAACCCGTGTGGATATATATATATATAGCATATATTTGTCCACCGCTTGCCCCTCTATCGATCTGCCTACCTTTCTCTTTACTTGTAGAACTGGCAGGGTAGGGGGGTGTCTTTGGAACCATTTTTGGGGGTGTTCATTAGGTTGGGTGTCCATTAGGTTGTTGCTCCACAAGTTGTAGCCATGAGTGGATCCACAGTTGCCGACCGAAACGTTGTGTTTTCGGGGCCTGTTTTCAAGCCTTGGGGTTTCCAAATGAATCAGCATCCGGCACATAGTTCCAGAACTTCAGCCATGTATTGTCTGACAAGTGTGGCCTCACCCCAAAAAACTCTTCCGGGGGTTGTTCCCTTGAGACGACACAAGTGTGGAGGCTAAGGCCTCACTACTAACGCCAGTGCTACACTATACCAGCAGCGCCGTGACCACGCAATGCTCTGTCCCAAAGCGACGCTGAAGCAGCTGGTTTCTCCTTTACCGGCCTCTTGAGGAAAGGGTCGGCGGATCCATTCTTGAAACCCATGCACGTGTCCATCAGCGTTGACCACAATTTTGATTGAAGGTGGCCAAGTCGAAATCAGTGCAGCTGGACACCATCTCCTACAATGTCAGTGCCTTTGTTGGGCTGAAGTCGCATGTAGTAAGGTTTCTTTTGGACCTTTGCAATCTGCTGCTAGGCAGCCATTTGCAGTTGTGACAAAGGAACACGGTTTGTCTGACGTGTTTTGTTGACATTGTCATTTCAGCCTCTCAAGTTCTTTGCGCAATTTGTTAAAAACAACTGGTGGAAATGCTGTGCCTGCTTTGCGTGTCGACCGCATAGATTGAGCAATACGAGGTGATTGAAGTGGCTGACCAATCTACCCGTGTAGTGTAGTGGCAACTCCAGTGGCCAGGTGGCAGACGGCCCTCCGGTTCTGGGACACCGTGCGGGAGGCCAATCAAAAGGATGATTTGAACATGTTTGAAATATATGGTAGCTGTTGCATTTCTGCTGCTTTCCAGTTGCTGCTTCCATTGCGTCTCACCTACAGGGAGGTGACAGATCCAGATGCATTCATGAAAACCAGCAAGTCACAGTCCGTCGGTTGCACTTCAGCTACTTGAGCACTCACCGAAGAAGCAAGTAGCAAAGTAGTAAGAGCGTAACAATGCATAAAACTTCTTTGTTTTGTGTCTTTCCAAATTCTTCCGAGATACTATATAGTAACAAGAAGCTACTAGGGGCTCCTGGCATCGCTACTAGGAGCAAGGACGCTACTAGGGGCTCCTGGCCGTACTACTAGGAGCAAGAACGCTACTAGTAGCAAAGGTCATCATATGCCGTCGTTGTAGTTGCATGTTACTGTTCAGGATTCAGTTTTCAATTTCCGATTCGTCCTTTGGTTGCTGGAGGTCAACCTTCAGCCACAGGCCTGGATGCAGCAGCCTTTGGGTATGCGTGTTTGTTCGTAGATTCTTGAGTTGGCAACGGCTTGAAACTCATAAACTGCATTCTTGAAGCAGGTTCGCACGTTCAACAACTGTGCCAATATGCTTTCCAAAGGCATGGAATGGGCCGTAACCCTGGCGATGGATGCAGAAACATGACCGAGAATTTGTGGAATCTGTTCTCTTGGTCCATGCATGGTTGGTAAAGTTTAAGTAAGCTTGTTTTGGTTAGGAGTGGCTGAGAGGTTGTTCTTGTTTAGATTTGTGACGAGTAGCGGAGCAGTGAGAACCAGTTGTCTCCGTGCGGATGGCCAAGGCAAAGAGCTTTCTCCTTCTGCAATCCTTGAGTTGCTTGCAGTTGCAGGCGGATGAGGCGCTTCTCGCCAACCTTGTGTCGTACTGTAAACTTGGTTGAAGATTTTGCGAAAAGGTGACGCAAAACACTGCTCTTTGTGCTTATCACGAGTGGCACATGGCTCTGGCTGCTTGGCAGGCGATGTAGTCAGTAGTTTGCGAGTGCTGTACTCCCATAGCTCTCCTTGAGTGCATGGAAGAGCGCTCCAGATTTCTTTCGCAAGTTAGAACAACAAAACACTGCCACAATCGAGAGAAGGAATTTTCACAAAAGGAATGGAGCATTTGCACTGATTTGGAGTTGCACTCGTTCAGGCAGCAGACCGCAACCCAACAAGCCAGAATATCATTTTGGCTTCATGTGGACGTGCCGGAATGTGGGAGGTGTTGACCCCGATGGTCAAACGCATTTGAACAAAACGTATTTTCATTTTTAGAGCGGTGAGATGTACTGTATGTAGCTGTAGTTTTGGTTTACTGAGATCTTGCCTGGGACTTCAGTTGAGAAGTTCCGTTGGGGATTTTTCCATCATGAGATTCACTGCCAGCACCAGGTTGCCCAAACACTCTTTACAGCGACTAAGCATCCGGATGAGGTGAGATCTTGTTTTATGTATAGAGATCAAAGAATTCAATGCCGTTGCTTAGATTTGAGAAGTGACTTGCTGACTGTTTCGGAGGTGACCTTTACCACAGCGACCAATGCCTTCGACCTATCCAGGTCTCCTAAAGTCCTAAAAAGGGGTCTCCCCTACTGTGTGTGTGGTGTACTTTCGTAGATGCTTCAGCTTTCAGAATTGTGCGGTTGAAGAACACTGAATCAAAAGCAAAAAGAGTTGTTCACCTGTTCAGTGCCGTTCAGCAAACTTGTATCAGAGTTTTCAACTCAGATGTACCACATGTGGTCTCGGCACCAACTATACCCTGACCATCACTTGTCTTCTCTTTGTATGATTCATACAACTGCTCAGCAATCCGGATTGCCAAGAAATAGTTGAGATGTGAGGAATCTAGTAACAACTGGGCAGTAACTCAGAAAAGTTGGACCGTAATTTTCCACGTGAGAGTCAGAGGATCGGTCCTGACGAGTAAACCGACCTTGGATGATTGAAGGCAATGGCCAAAAGCGCTTACTGTGATCGCCATGCTGCACTGCTTTGGAATGGAGCCACATCGCAGCTTTGGTGTGCATATCTCTGCAAAGTTTGTTTGCTGCCTTGGTTCCAAGGAGTTTGGAGTGTCACATAGTGTGTAGAGTGCAGAGGTTCATTGCGACACCTCGATGGACCTGGTTTTGAAAGGTCAGCGACCTGCCTTGAATGCAGCGGCTGCCGCCTGTGCAAGACTCCAGCAGTGGGGCCGTGTTTTGCACCAGTATTCTGGCAGAAAAGCATGGGAACACTACACAGAGTCTGTTTATCGTTCAAGAGCTTTGCGCACATGCAAGGCTTCATCAAATGGCCAGAGCCTTGAATGCCTAGTCTAGAAACACTCTTCATAGCTTCCTTCGGCCTCTGCTGCCACAGGTTCTGACAGAAAGTGACTCCACTGGCATAGCTCCTGATGTTTGGCTCTTAGGCAATCGACCAAAACTGTGTAGCATATCCTCAGTTCTACATAGTGACTGTGCAACAATCTCCCGGTGCACATTTGTTTCATGCCTTGTTTATCATACCCTTTGCGCAAAGAAGTTCTTCTTCAGTACGTACAACTTGGTTCGATAAGTGGGTAGGTCTTTGAACTCCAAGTGATGTGACATCCTTTCGATGTCAAAGCCACACAATGGTCCTGAAACCAACACGAGAAGAAAGAATATACCCGAACAAGACCAGTTCCCTTTTACATGAGACACTTTTTTATCCACCTGCCTTTACATGATTTTGTGGTTCATAGTTTTGTCCATGAACTGGGAATCAATCAATCAGCAGCTGAGAGAAATAGGAGTCTGAGAAAATGATGAGAGTGAAGCCTAGTCGCCTAGCTGCATCACGCTGTCCTTTCTCCCAAAAGCGTCTGAGCGAATGGTTCGTCTTAAAGAGAGGTGGTGAAATCATCTCTTCACATAATCTGACATCAGTAGATCATCTACATCTCTCATGACATCTTCACATCTTATCTCTTATTTGACTTCTCTCTCTCTCTCTCTTTCACGGGGGGTGGGGCGGACGGGACGAAAGTGAACCCGTTCCGGAGATCGTGCGTTTCGAAGTCCCGAACAGAGGTGACATGCGAATTTTTGGTTTGCCTGGGTAACCCTTTGCGAGGATAGTGCTTGTCGAACTCCGAAACAACGGCAAAGTGCAAATGCTGCTATCATTCTGAAACTGAAGGTGTGCGTTTCAGTGGAAAGTGCTTTTGCCAGTCTCCTTGCCGCTGGGTTGGGGAACAGAAAGCAGGCGTGCGTAAAAAAGCGCAGGATAATTGGTGGCATCAATGAGGCTTGGTGTCACATTGTTGTATCTAGAATGAGGCAGCCAGTGCTATTTTTTAAATCTCTTTCCTTTTTGCCTTTACCACCTTCACTTCCATGGACAGCTCTCCTCGTTCACATTTCCTTACCGGTCATCTCTTGTTGCTTTTGGGCCATGCGTCGTTTTAGTTGGCGTAGGGAAGCGAGAGCGGTGCTTGAGGTTGGGTCTCACTCTTCAGCTTGAGCTTGTGCCACTTTGGCTCAAGATTGAGACCGGTTTGACCGACCTCCAGTGACTCCAGTTTTGCCATGTTCCTTGAGCTTTTCCTGTGTCATTCCTGGTTGGCCTTCTTATTGGTGTCTGTTTGGCTCGGTGCTGCTGGCCTCGTGTTGTGCCTCCGCCGGTCGCACCATTGATTCCGGCTCTTGTTGGACCATCGGGTTTTCCTGCATTGATCTATGGCAATACTGCAAGTGTTGCCGACAGACGCAGGCTTGGATACGCTTGAGGCCATTGGTCGATGGGTCAATTTGAGCGATGCGGCTTGGCGGGCGATGTCGACATGTTTGGGAGGTGTGCCAAATGTTCGGATCATGGCTGTTCCTGGAGGCGTAGGTCCTGTGGCTGTCAAAGAAGGTGGGATCCTGTAGTGGGTCAACATCAGGCAATAAGTAAGCCTGTCTGCTAATGCGTCACACCAACCCAATCTGAATCACGCCAACTGCACGTTCTGGCAACGTAGCTGTTGCTGGGATTCGCGCCCTCTCAAATGCAGCGCAGGAATCAATGAATCAATGTTGCGCGCGGAATAGTGGCCAACAAAGAGTGTCAAGATGAGTTCAGCTGTTGATCAGTTGGGCAATTCAGAAGTTGACTTGTTGGTGAATGAAGGTTATAGGGATAGAACGGTGATCAGGCTTGCGCAGACAAATTTTGCACGGGGAGGAGAAACCAAGACTATGACAAAGAGGGAGGCAGAGGAGTCGCAGCGCACTTAAATCCTGTCCCGGCGGCAGCAGAATGTGTCGTTGGACACCCGCAGAGGAGGTTCCACCAGCAGTGGCAGCGGCAAAAAGAAAAAACTGGGATAGTAGTGTCTGATGAACATGGATCTGCAAACAAATTCGTGGAGCCAGAGAACCGTTCCAGTGTTCAGAGCTGAAGTTAGTCTTGCACAGCGGTGGAATCTTGACAAAGAAAAGGATGGTTGCAGCATGGGTGCCAGATAGCGCTGCAAATTGCAGGCAGCGCCTGCGACTTGAGACAAGGAGCAACGCAGGCGTATGTGGCACTAGTCTACTCGTCCGGCGCAACAGCAACCAAAGTTGCTTTGTACTGCGCGTGGGTGCAGATCAGCAGAGCCAAGAATGAACAGCCTTTGCCTTTGACCCCATCCAGCGTCCGAGAGAATGCCTCCATATTGAGGAGCGCGGGCTACAAAGCTGTCAAAAGCTATCTTTATGGGGTGAAAGACAGACCCACCAGGGCTGGCTACCTATGGCCTCGAGCGTGCCACGACGCTTCGGATGCAAAACGGATGGCGGACACAGCGCTTGGTAAGGCTGGTGTGGAGGCATTTGTGGTCGAGGCATGGATTGACGCCAAAAAAGTATGAAGCAAGTGATGCTGCCCGAATGCTGGCGTCTGGACCTGGAAAATTGGGGTGGCAGTTGGGGTGGAGCTTGCTTCGCTCATACTGGACAGCAAACGCATTCAGCTGAACCAGGCGGAGCAGGTGGTCACACATCGACCACCAGCCAGTAAAACAACCGCAGCTTGGAAAGTAGGAAAAGATCCCCTGTGTCCATACCATGCAGTCAGCGCACAACTACGTGCCCAATGTCAACGATTGGGAAGTCATGACAGAAAAGCAATTCCAGAAGGAACCCCCGCTTGTTGGACAACAGCTTCATTTGTAGACAAGAGAGTGATGACTGAGGAAGCGCAAAGACCATTGTCAGTGTTTCTGGAAGACAATGAAGACTACAGCCTCGAGGTGTCAAATGTCACGGCACATTTCATCCGACGTTCAGGAGTCAAAGGTATGACAGGAAGAGGATGCTCTTTCACTTCAATTCAATGGTTTGCTCGTCATAGCCGCCAGACAACTTGGGATGACACCGAAGAAGCGTGGGGCGAGACGCCAGAGCGTGCAGTGAAATTGAAGAATGAGATGCAACTCGCGGAAAAACTTGCGAGCGCTTTGCAGAAGGTTAGCGAACTTGAGGATGCTTTCAAAGAACAAGAAGAAGGGTTGAAACCGTCATCTATTTTCGAAAAATTCAACAGAAACCCGAAGAGCTTTGACACCGGTGGACAACGAAGTGTGGACGGCCTTGAGTAAATGGAGACGGTATATGCAAATTCATTCTCGAGGGGGGTGACGTTGACCGAACCTTGAAGAAGTGTGGGTGTTTTGATGGTTGAAGAGGGGTTAATGGCTGAAGGCGGGCAATGTGTGACATGTCTTAGCTGGATGTGTCGTGACAATTTGTATGTGTTTGATGGTCGCCCATTGCAACCTCTTTTAGAGCGAGCCTCACCACCAGCATTCGGATAAAATACGCTTCCCGCTCCAGGGAGGTAGGGTGGGGGGTCTGCGCAAGCACAGTTTCCAGCAGAGTATGCCAATGTGGCTACCCGCAGCTTTGAAAGGTTTTAGTCGAACCTGACTTGATGGCTTGAAGCGATCATTGAGGTGGTGACTTTTGGAGCAGCCCTCAATGCCTGCCGTGGAGCACAGCAGCTGGAGCTTGCTGAGAACTTGCTCAAGGCATCTTTTTGTGTCGGCTTTTAACGGCTTGAAGTGTGTGTTTTTGCAGCATTATCCCACGATATCCCAGGGATGGGAAGGCTCCACGTAGCCATCGTGAACAAACATGAATGTCGTCATAAAAAAACACCAATCAAAGTGCAGTCCAAGTGCAGTTGTTGTCCAAACAAACGCATCATTTTCCTCGTTGTCAATCTACCAACAGCAGGACCTTGACTCGTTGTCAAAATGGCAACAATTGTGCAACATCTCTTCATATGTGATTCATGTCATTTCAATTTGCGCATCGGTGTCATCTCACCTAGCATTTTTTCCGATCTATATAAAGCTTCAGTAGATTCATCAATGATACAATAACACCTGTTTCTTTTATGGTGATCGCGCATAGTCCATCCTGAATGTTCATCTCCATGCCGTTGTTTCAGAACCCTTCTCCATTGGCAGTTGCTTTAGGGGTTGGGGCTTGGTGCTCCCGAACAAACCAACAAGACAGCTGCTGACACTTCTTTGTATCGTCCCTTTGTGTGCATGGACATTGGCACGACAAATTTGTGTTGCCTTTCCGATTTCACTGTGGCGCTGCTGATCTGTGTGTGGGCGTTGTGTTCCAGCCATTGAGTTACAGTAGTTGGATGTGAAACGTGCGTTTTCGATCGGACTTGAAGCCGGCATTTATGCGACAGAAGCTATGATACAGTTTGATTGGCTGCCACTTTGCAAATATGATCGAGCAGCCTAGCTTCCTGCGAAAGGTTCTCAGTTTTATCACTGACGATCTGAAAGATGGTAGCAGCTTGGTCATGTGAGGTAATGCGACAGCGTCAAATGCGTCCCGGATTAGAAGCAATGGATGCAGTGCTGGGTGCTTGTGAGCCTTGGCTCAAGACTATACCAAATGTGAAGTGAATGTTTCAGTGCCTCTCTCTTGCCTTTTTCAAAGACATATATATAAGTATAAGCGCAGCTTAGCTCTCATTCTTGAGAACCCCTGACCTCAGCAACAGCTTGAAGAGGAGAGGGGGCACAAGTGGGAGCGAGCATTCGACATTCTCAGAGGACAACGTCCAGCTTTGCAAGTTTGAGTAGCAAAGGACTTGTTGGCTTTGCTTGGCAGAGGAACTGCCCACTCCCTGCACACCAGGACTTCGTGAGGACGGTTCAGATGCAGATTTACCGCTGTTGAGCTCTGCCATGAACGTTTGCCTGCTGCTGAGAAGTTATTTTTGCATCATTGGTTTGGCCGGACCAAGAGTTGGCTAAGCAACACCTTTCGCCAAAAAGCCTAGGAACCGTATTTTCGTAAAACGTCCTTGCTGCTGACAGCTTGTACTTATATACTACAGTAATTAAGCTTACTTACATTCTCAGCTTAGCCTATTTCAGCAAACCCTTCCAAGAAAAGGACAATAAACGACATAAACCAAGGTATAAAGAAAGAGTGCATTGATCTCCATCTACTCAGGTGACAACACCAGCTGGGCGAGAGCGCTAAATCTATATAGACAATTGTGGCCACTCTCACTCACGTGTGAGGCTTAGAGACTTGTACTGCAAACCAGATGTATTGAATATGACTTTTTTGTCCATATCGTTTGCAACGGACGCAAGGCAGGACAGAAGTTAGACATTCTTTTCCTGATGATTGTAGATGTGGCCTTGTGACCTGTCACGTTTCCACTTCAAAGGAACATTTGTGGGAGGTAGCTTAACATAGAAGCTGTGTGCAGAGATCCAACGGAGAAATAGGGCTGGAATGGCAAACTGTACAGTTGGTTTGACAACCGCTCACAGGCCGTTCCAAATCTGATTGTGACAAACCTGATTTGGCCTCCTTGACTCTCATTGCACATGCCAAGAAGACGTGCACAAATCATCCAAAGCCAATCAGCTCACAGGGTGGGTTCGTGAAGAGCTCCCCAAATGGCATTTATTGCTCTTGAAAGGTTGTTGGGATTCTGACTTTCAATGCAGAACCTGTATATACTATGTTTAAAATTTGAAGGCACCAGGATCTGCGGACATTTGACGTGGAATCAACACAGCTAGCAGCTAGCATGTTCAAATGTATTCCAAGACCAATGATGAGGTGCATAGTCTGCGACTCCAACGACGCTTGAACACACGAAAATCGCAGCAATACTACTACCCTTCGCAGGAGGGGCAAGGTCATAACCATCATAAAGCTCAAAGAAGGGCAAGTCGTAGCAAATTGACATCGTTGCATGGAGGTGTCACCCCTTGCTGCACTAGTACAAGGGCTTACGGGAAAAAGATCCGAGAACGAGCCTTCTTCCCGACACCTGTGCCAGGGCCATGCTCGGCAGGATCATTTGACCCTTTGAATATTGCCAGAGAAACCTGCAAACTCAGTATCACTTTATCAAGAGTAGATACTAGGAGCAAAGGGCATCGCTACTAGGAGCAAGGACGCTACTAGGGGCTCCTGGCCTCACTACTAGGAACAAGAACGCTACTAGTAGAAGCTAGTAGGATAGTTGCAAACTCAGTTTTTACTCACTTTTTGTTTGAGGCCAGACTTGGCCATATTTGGGTCAGCACTCACCGCATGCAAGGTGCGCGTTTCAGTGTGCTGCCACAAAAGCCAAAAGAATCTACGCAGCAGGCATAAGGTTGTTGAACGGCATAGAGCAGGTGAAGTTTAGGAATGAGCAAGGAAGGCGAAAACTCGACCCAGAACAACACACCAGCATTAGAGATGGGTAGACAGTAAAAGGCATCACGTATGATATTCACTTCGGTTATACAGCTTGGGACTTCACGAGACTAATTCCTACCAACCAAAGTGCTAAAGTTAACCTTCCCCCAAAGTCGCTATTAGGTTGGAGGCCATCGCTATTGGGTTGGAGGCCATCGCTATTAGGTTGGAGGCCATCGCCACAAGGTAGGAGGCCATCGCTTCTAGGCTGGAGGCCATCGCTTCTAGGTTGGAGGCC